AAAAAATCCTCATGTTGCATGTATGCAGCATCTTTGTTTGGATCATGATTAAAATGGTTGCCTCTAATTTTAAATAGAAAGAGCACAGACAAAGCCTTATTTTGTTTATATGAAGAGATTTCTTTTATTTGTTATTTATTTGATTTAGGGCTTGTTTTAAAATTTATATTTTGTTTTGTTATTTACATTTACATTATATTTAAATTTTGTTATTTAGCAGACGCTTTAATCCAAAGCGATTTACAAATTAGGACAATAGAAGCAATCATAACCAACAAATGAGCAATAATATACAAATGCTATATTAGTATATTATTATAGTGTTATATTTCAATTTCACAAAGAAACATGCAGCATTTTGTCCAAGCAATAATAAAAGGACACATTTAATTTTGTAAAAAAAAAATAAAAAATCATGAATCGAATCGTGAAATCAAAATCGTGAATTGAATCGTGAGCGGAGTGAATCGTTACATCCCTAATTGTAAGCCTAAGTAGATTGTAGAACCATTGCCACCAATGGTCTCTACGATCAGCTTAGCTTATGATGCTTTTGAGAAATGCAGCCCTGATCCAGAAGCGATGTAACCTGTTTTACAGAATACAGATGTTTGTTGTGCATAAGAGAACCCCTGCAATACAGTGTGACGTTAGCATGCTGACCAAAACATTGACCAAAGCTTTGTGCCGTGCTGCTTATATATTTATCAAACAGTAAAAACCCCACTTCCAAAACAAGGCGTCTGTGGATGAGAGTCTGAAGCAAGGACTGGTGAGACAACATTTGTCCTGCACTGTTTCACAGACGATGAGTAGAAGGAGAATTTTAGATTGACAGGACAGTCATTTATGACATTGTCATCATGTGTCATAACATCATTACACCATTTCAACGTCATTGCACGTACATGACTCCCCAGTTTCGGTTTTCTGATCTGATCAAGTGTTTTACATGTCCTATCGAACAGATTAAAAACCACCGCTTACAATCAGAATTAAATTTCAGTCAGATTTGGCCAATTTATTCTGATGTGACTTTTATTCAGATTGGGCTACTAGTCTAATTTTTGTTTTTTGACGAATTTATTGATGATTAGAAATTTTGCCTCATTTTTGGGTGAACTGTCCCTTTAAAGCCATGTTGCTGCTGCCATTTTCTTCCTGTGGCCTCAACCCATGTCTTGTTCTCTCATTGGCTGTCAGACTCTCATCGAGTCGGCTGACTGGTCCAGATATTTAGCATGCTAGATATTTGTTTGGCGTCGGCGAGGCGTCAGGGAGCCTCTTTGATGCGTCTTTGAGTAGTTCACACATAAAGACTGCTGAGCGCTGATCACACACCGATTTGCCCTCGATCACAGCCCGACCTGTCGGCGAGTTTGTTGACTTGCAAATCCGGCTTAAGATCCTGTAGTGTGAACTTGGTATTAGGGGCTACAGGAACGTAGTTGTGAACCACTACAGCATTTATTTGAAATATAATTTTTTTTGTAACATAAATATTTATACTGTTTAATGTCCTTGCTAATTAAAGGTATTCATTTCTTTTAAAAACTAAAAAATCTTAGTTAACTTGCAATGTATTCTCGAATTGCCTTTTCCAAAATGAATAAATGTTATGCTGTCTTAAAAATAAGGAATCTTATAAGACAGGCCTTAAAGTGCTGTCTGTGTAGGCAGCTCTCACTAGGTTTCGGAACAGAGCTCATATTTACTGTTAGTATAAACTGTGACCCCATGAGTACATCAGTAATACATTTTAATGTTAATTTAGTGTAATTATTCCTTTTAGCACCGGCATCTACTCATGCAAGACTTTTTGGTCGTTAGGCGCCTAGCTGTTAATCTCATTAGGACGGACAGGTGTTGGATTGCTGGTGGTTTGCAGTCTTAATGCACCGTTTGACCATCTCGCATTTGTGCAAGATTTTAATTTAGAGGCAAGGGTTAAAGCTATTAATTCATTACCACCGTTGCCAGCATCTTCAGCTGTGATGGATGAAGGGTTCAGAATGGCTGCTGCAGGACATCTTTCTCCTGAGATGCTTCAAACCTCTTGACCGGGGTTGGTTTATGCTTCTGATTTCTGTTTGGTTAATCCCATAAAACGGCCACCTCTGGGATGTTATTAGGGCAAGTTTAAAGGCTAAGTCTGAATTAATCTAAAATCTGCTTGTTATTGGACTCTGCTGATGTGTTGTAAGATATTTGACATGCTTGAATAGTTTGTTTTAATTTGGCCGGATAACAGCCCCCCCCCCCATAATGCACTTTTCCTGCTGATATTAAATCCAAGTCCAAGCGCTCAGTCTACATCCAAATTCCTATATTTTCTGAGCACATACTGAACTTTTGGACGTCCTACTATTTTGCCGTACCCTACATTTGAATATGCATAAAAAAATGAACATCTCGCCCTGGGTAATTTTGTAAAACAGTAAGTTTCTCATATTCATGCTGGCTTGGTGAATGAGAACAATTTTTCCAGCTTTATAATTTCCTGCTGGTTATTGAGGCACAACGATTGACTCTGCAGTGTTTTTTATGGTGAATGTGCTCATTTTAGTGATATATGGGTAGCGCTTCACTTTAGCTCATTTCTTACCCTTACAGGACCCCTGTGAGGACAAAAGACATAAAGACATCTGGTCTAAAGAGAAGACCTGTGACCGTTTCCCCAAGCTGCTTATCATTGGACCTCAGAAGACCGGTGAGTGTTGTGTGCTCAGCACACATCCACACAACGTGTGCACTTGCGCCATCTAGCGTGTGCTGGCAAGATATGCTCTCTTTTAAAACCAATTATAGCAAATTTCCATCTAGATCCAGTGTTATAAGTGTGCCTTCCAGCATATATCAGCCAATGTAATACTGTAGATTACAATATTACAATTTACTGTAGGAATTCCTATTCTTCTTTTTTTAACTTTTCATTATAATTGTAGTTATTATTGATCCCCCTTTTTGAGTGGCTATTGTTTTGCTTGCCAGAATGTTACCAATATGTGTGTGTGTGTGTGTGTGTGTGCATATATATATATATATATATGTGTGTGTGTGTGTGTGTGTATGTGTATGAATGTACGTACGTACGTACATACATACATACATACATACAAATTATACATAAAGCTGTCAAATGATTTTAAAAAAATCTAATTAATTTACTTGATGTGCCTATTAATAAGTCAAATTAATCACACGTCAATTTAGGCTGAGAAATTACCCCAAAAGATAATTGAAAGTCATTATTGTGTTAAATGAGAGAAAAAAATGTTGAATAGACACTACAAAAAGTAGCTTTAGAAAGAAATATTTTGATTCAACATAGAATTTATTACAGTTACATAAACTGTGTATTGTTCAGGTGGCATGAATGCATTTACACTGCAATTAAAATTGCATGAATAATGATCTTAGAAAAACGGGGTTTTAAATAAGCATTAGTTGGTTTTAAGAAAAAATCAACTGAATAGTGAAATTTCTGAAAATTAAAAAAATAATAATAATAATTAATAAAAATGAAATATACTGTAAATATGAAATTAAAACCACCAGTTTGTTGTGGCAAGTCACTGTTTTAATGAGGGAGTCATTCCGTCATTCATTCAAATGTTCAAATTGCTGATTCATTCATAAACAAAGCAAGGGACCAAATCATTGGTGCTCTCAATTCATTGGCTCATCTCAGTTAATTTTTATAATCAGCTACAACTTTGTTGGTGTATTTATGAAAGTAATTTTTAGATGTGTATTTTTTTTTTCTAAATGTATTACTCAATTATGGGGGTGGATTAGTGCTGTGATTGACTTGCAACAGGTATGTTTTTTTTTTTTTCATCCAGTGCTCTTGAATCTTGAAAGTGTGCACAACAGCATTGGTGGGGTTTTATTTCCTTACAGGCTCAGGCTCATAGATGTATGCAGGCTTTCTACTGCAACCCTGGCTGCTCCTCAGTAAATGTGAATTCAGTTTTACAGCGTTGACTAATTAAACTTCTAAAGATGTCTTCAGGGAGCAATAGCCCACTCTAAGAGTGGGTAGAAAAATGGCTGTGTTAATCTTCTCAATAAAAGTTAGATTAGGGGGTTGGGCCTTAGACCAACGTTTATATATTTATTTATTTATTTTTCTTTTTTGCACTGTTATTACTTCACTTCCTAGACTTGTATATTAGCTAGCATCATCGTTTCAGTAAACTTTCACTGAAACTTTTTCTTTGGCTCAAATTAAATCAGGTTTTATACTACATACTGTACTTCTGTAGCTCAGTAGCAGAATTTTAGGAGTCACAATGGGGTCAAGAAGTCTGAGACTACTAATGAAATAGTTTTATTATTATTGTTATTATTATATTTAAGGGATTTTTCTAATTTAAGTTTGTTTTTAATTGTTTTGTTAAAAATTCTATAATCGACATATGCTGTCTTGTCTATTCAGGAACTACTGCTCTCTATCTGTTCCTGGGCATGCATCCCGATTTGACCAGTAACTACCCCAGCAAGGAGACCTTTGAAGAAATCCAGTTCTTCAACGGCCGAAACTACCATAAAGGCATTGACTGGTATGTGGTGATATTGTGAAAGAAAATGTCTCCTTCATATGTTACCAACTTCATGGGTTGCAGTCTCTTTGAAATCATGCATGATTTAGAGACCCCATCAAATAAAAAATAAATAAATAAAAAATTGCTTTGTCGTTTAGTCCATATATGTTAGTTTTGAGGTCATCTATATGCTAGTGTACACCTAAAACATTTAGCAGATTGAACATACCAAGGACAATAACTATAACGTTTTTAATAATTGTTGTAATTTTGTGAGAGTAATGAAATCCACAACACAACTATATTGATAATGTGACAGAGAAACAATATCGCTGCAGTCGGTTTCAGAACGTTTTCTTCCAGCTGATGAACTACCGTATTGACCCGAATATAAGACAATGTTTTTTTCTTGGAAATACATCTGAAAAAACGCGGTCGTCTTATATTCAGGGTCTAGACTTTGACATGTCAATAATACACCCACAACAATAGGTGGCGCCAAATACGCATAAAACGAGTGTGCCATGAAATACGTAATGTAATGCGTGTTGTAAAGATCGCGAGTAAAAACTAAAGAAGCAGAAAACCTTACAGCTGCATGAGTCGTGACTGTCACGTTAGCCTGATGGGACCAAACTCCCTTTGTGATTTTAAAACGTAAGACAGTACCAAGATTTGACGACTACAGTAAGATTTAACTTCTACTGTTCATAAGATTTTGGTAGGCTACTATTAGATGGATAGCCTAAATGTCCTAATTCAGATGGGCTACCTGTTTTTTTTTTTTTTATGGTATATCAAAAAGTGTATATTTTTTAAATGTGATTTGTTGGTACATTTTACCAGTTTTTATCATACTTTCAAAACAAAAATTAAAATAGGAAAAATATGCAATATGAAAATAATTGAAGACAAAATGTGTTTTACGGCGAAAAAACAAGATTTGGTTTTTAAAAAGCCTTTTTCCAAAAGGTACATCTGGAAAAAGGGGGGTCGTCTTATAATCAGGGTCGTCTTATATTCGGGCCAATACGGTATATTTTTATCATCAGCATTTAAAGTGGCAGACATCCAAATTGTGGCAAGTTCATATAATGAACAGGAAGTTTTTATGCATTGATTTGGAAGCCAATATAGTTATCGTTACAGTTATTGTTCTTGGTGTTAAAAGGCCTTGACCTAAAATTTATGACCTAAATTACTGATTTAAAATACTGAATCAACTTTCACTCATGGGATGTATCTAAAACTGCTCTCTAGAATGAGAATGTCCTTTCCCCCTAAAACAACCCATTTCTGATGCACCATAACTTCCTATTTCTATAGGGAGTACATCAACATGGGCAAGAAAACCGCATGATTTCATGGGTTCTTTACAGTCGATAGCTCTTGTGAAGTACTGTGAATGTGAAAATCTGGCATGCTTTGAAGTTAAGAGTATTAAGAGACATGGAGGCTAATGTTCCCATGAGAGGAAGGCATTATGGGTCATTTCAAAACACAGCACTGCCTTCACCACCAGCTCTTTCTTTCCATCATTCAGTAGTCTGAAATGTAACTAATAGAAAGCAGGTGTCTGATGCACATCATCAACCGCCTCTATCTCTTCCTGCCTTTCTTTTTCTCTTTAATCAGTTTGCGGAAAAAATGTCGGAGGTTGATGGTTCATGTGGCGGTTCGTTCTCAAAAACAAGTGCTGGATACAATGCTGATTATAAGGAGAGAGGTGCATTTCACCAAACAGAGATAAACAATGGTGCAACAATAGTTAAACATGTTTTTTTTTTTTACAGGTGTTGACACATGTCCACCATCTGTTTTCTTTCAAGAGTGTGGACCAAATTTAATGAAATGCTAATTGTTTGGCTTTTTTAATGCTAGGTACATGGAATATTTCCCTCTACCCTCCAACACTAGCTCAGATTTCTACTTTGAGAAAAGTGCCAACTACTTCGACTCAGAGGTCGCGGCCCGGCGAGCAGCTGCTCTTCTGCCCAAAGCCAAAATCATCACCATTCTTATCAACCCAGCTGACAGAGCCTATTCCTGGTATCAGGTCAGTATCTAACTGCTCATGTGTCATCCAATCACATCCAGGGTCAGTCAAGGCCATGATGCCTGCTCTGGACAGAAGATTAGATCTGCAAATGGGAAAAATATGTTATTCGGAAGGAATTGTAAACAGCATTGTTCTGCTGGGTCCGATAGGGCCCATGTTTTATACTTTTGCATGTGGCTTTTAAATTTTTCCCAAAAGCCTGTTTATGTTAGTCAAGGTAAGTAGTTTTTGCAGCAACAAGATGCTATTTTATTTCAAAAGAGCATGGAAAGTTATGTTTTCCATTATATAACATTTCAACTTCAACAGTGCTCTGAAAAAGTATGGCCCATGAAAAATGATGTCCTTTTTAAATGTGGACATTTCGATACTGTAACTATATTTGGATGGTATGGATGGAAGAAGATGGTATAAAAATTATGTACACCCATACATTTAGCAGCTTATACAAATTGTGTGATGGTTGACTAAAAGAAATTATGCTCATTCCTTCATGCAGAATTGTATTACTTCTGTGAATTTGGAGTGATTTGTAGCAAGTATGGTCCACTTCAGGTCCCTCATAGCATTTCAATTAAACTGAGATCTTGATTTTGACTTCTAAGGCTACGTTTACACAACAACGATGTAGTCAAAAACGGAAACGTTTTTCCCTTGCGTTTTTAAAAAGTTTCACGTATACACGACAACATTTTTGAAACGATTCACGTTTACACATATCCGCGAAAACGGCCAAAAACGCTGTATTACGTATGCCAGGTCAGAAGTTGGCGCTGTCACCTTGTTAGTAAACAGTACCTGTAGGGAAGTGACAATTATATGATGTGTATGATGCGTCTCCGTTGTTGGTTGTAATATTGATGAAGTAAATCCACACTTTGCTGAAGAAGAGTTAGCAAACTCTTGAGCAGCAACAACAGTACCGTGTACTCTGCCATTGTTGTGTATGTTTGTTCGTGCTTGCCTTTAAAATCGACACGTACATGTGGTTTTCATGTCTACATACCTAACACGTACTACGCACGCGCATGACGTCACCGTTTTCAAAGATTCCTGTTTTGGGTGTTTACACGGAAACGATGACGGTGCCGTTTTCAAAAACTTGCACTTTGAAACCCGCTTTCAAAAATATGCGTTTTCAGTCCCCAAAAGGCCGTTGTCATGTAAACGAACAGGCAAAACGCATAAAAAGTTTCCAGTTTTTGGCTGAAAACGTTGTCGTGTAAATGGCCCCTAAAACTCAATTTCTTTTTTCTGAAACATTCCTTTGTGGGTCTGCTTGCATGTGTTGATTCATTGTCATTGACGGTTTTTTTTTTTTACAGATGGCTTCATGTTCATCTCAAGCATTATTTGATATAATTTGGAATTCATAGTTGCAGTTATGGTGGCAATATACTGCCTTTTATCTATTAACATCTGTAAAAATGTATTATCTGTATGTTCTAATACAGAAAAACAAAATACAGGGCCTCTGCGTGTCCTTAAAAAGGCTTAAAATGTCATAATTTGAGGCCATGTCTTAAATATCTTGGTACGAACATATATTATGTACCATATTAGTCGTGATTATTATGCTTCAAAAGTTTGTGATTTAAATATGAGCACTGCATGTTTAAAATGAAAAACACAGCACCTATTGTGCATTCTGTGGACTTACAATTTCAAGCTATATGATCTAACTATTATGAATGTATAATGAAAATTTACTTTAATGATTTTTATATTGTATGTAGAGGTTGAGTCCTGGTGTATTTCATGTTTTTTTTATATTTAAGAATCCCACATATAATAGAAAAATGCATAAAATACATAAAAATTTATTAAATCTTTTTTTCCGGTTATTATTGGTATGTTGGTTACACAATTATCTGTATGTGGCATTTAATTCAACATAAACGCTTCTTATCTCTGCTTACCCAATCACAGGAAAACTCTACCAGAGTACTCTACCCTGAAACAAAATGCACTTCTGGGGTTTACTTACTTTTTCACAGCGCTGTATTTTATCACAAAATTGTAAATATTAATTGGCTGTTTTCCAGCACCAAAGGGCTCATGATGATCCTGTGGCTCAGAAATATACATTCCATGATGTCATCACTGCTGGGCGGGATGCGCCCATCAAACTGAGGGTCCTGCAGAGCCGTTGTCTAGTGCCCGGACTTTACGCCACACACCTACAGCGCTGGCTCACACACTATCACCCCAGTCAGGTATTGAGCTGAGTTCATGCATGCCCATAGATGCGCTGTGCAATTGAGGATGTTTCTATGATTTATATGAACCAGTTTGTTTCTTTTCAGATCCTGGTCCTGGATGGACAGATGCTGAGGACAGAACCAGCTTCAGTGATGGACAAAACCCAGAAGTTTGTAGGCCTGACAAACACGCTCAACTACCACAAGATTATTGCGTAAGAAGCTTGTCCCCAAAAGTTTCTCTTTTATGATTGACAATTAAAAGTCATTAATATGCAATACATTATTGAGCACCTGGAGTGTTTGGTTTAGAGCTGCTTTGAAGTGTTTCACAGTAGTCTCCTCGTCCTGATGGACCCCCTTTAATCTGACAGGTACACAAGAGTGCTTGTTAATTCACTGCCTTCTCTACCACTTCGTGTAAACTATTTTTACTTTAGTCAACCCTTTCCACTTGTCTCTCTTTCTCTCTCTATCTGTCTCATTCTGTGTCTCGTGCTGTACCACTTAAGCTCATAAGCAGTAACATCTGTCAGCCACATCTCCCACTGGACAATGAAGATGGTTTGTCCTGTGGCAGCCTCTCAGGAGGCCTTGCTGTGCACCATCTGTTTGTTATGTTCCCTTTTGATTAGGCTGATGTTGAAACATTGCCCTGTTTTTGCTGCCTGTCCTTCATTTTGTCCCTTCCTTCCTGCTGCAGGTTCGATCCGAAGAAGGGTTTCTGGTGCCAGCTGCTAGATGGAGGGAAGACCAAATGCCTGGGGAAGAGTAAAGGGAGGAGATATCCTGATATGGACGTTGATGTGAGATTATGATTCTGGTTCATATTCCTGTTTCAGTTAAAACATTCCCGTCTTTTGGGGGTTGTTTGGCATTACAACTGGTGTTGGTAAACAAAGGGGAAAAGGAAGCTTGTTCAGACATTTTTGGTATATTTGACTCGAATCCCTTCAGTTTTCATAATCTCAGTAGCAAAAACTGCATGAAATCAGGTTAAACTCAGATTTTTAGCAATACACTGCCATTCAAAATGTTGGTCATATTTTTTTGTTTTTGAAAAAGGTTTCTAATGCTCATCATCACTGTATTTATTTATCAAAATACACTAAAAGCAATAATTTTGTGGGATTTTCATGTGATGGCAAATCCATTTTTTAGCAGCCATTACTTCAGTCTTCAGTGTCACATGATCTTTCAGAAATCATACTAATATGCTGATTTGGTGCTCAGGAAACATTTCTTATTATCAGTGTGGAAAACAGTTCCACGTGTATTTGATGAACACATTTATTTGAAATAGAATTATGTAAGAGTGTAAATGTCTTTACTGTGTCTTTGGTCAATTTAATGTGCCCTTGCTGAATTAAACAATTATTTCTATCATAGAAATGAGTCATACTGACTCCAAACTTTTAAACGCTATTCTAAATGGTCAAATGAGATTTTAATATTAAACCGAAAAAAACAATAACCCATAAAATCATTTAGCCTAACATCTACAATTTAATCATGTCTAGACAGTATTTCCTGTTGAATATTTAATTTTACTCCGAGATAGGTGCGTGTGTGTCCAAAGAAGTTTGTGTTTACATAAGTTTACATAATATGTGCGTATATGTATATATTTAAGAAGTATTTGCGTGTGTGTGTGTGTGTATGTATGTGTGTGTGTGTGTGTGTGTGTATATATATATATATATATATATATATATATATATACACACATGCAAGTATATGTTTAAGAAGTATTTGCATGTGTCTGTATATATATTAGGGGTGTAACGGTACACAAACATGATGGTTCGGTACGTACCTCGGTTTTGACGTCACGGTTCGGTATGTTTTCGGTAAAAATGTATGTTTTCATAAAATATTTATTTACGCATAAATAATTAAGACATCACTAACAGGTAAAGTAAATATAATGAAGTATAGTCTGATATTTCGCAAAATGCTCTTCAATAGATTTAATTTCTCTTGCAAATACAAGCTGTAGACACTGATGACTTGCCTGAGGACGTAAATTAAATGCTATGTGACATTTTGTTTACAAGCTGTTTTAATGACATCTTTTCATGGTTGAAACACTAATTGAGCGATTACTTGAGGGGGTGAGATGTTCATTCATGTATATTTTGCATTAAAACTAGTAATAAAGAGGAAGGGATGATCACGCTCACTCGCGCAACGTGCTGCCGTTAGAACTAAAGCGTTTATACGGCTTTTTTTTTTTTTTTGCCCCCCAAAAATATATATATAGCCTATTTTTGCCAAATTCTTGTTACTTCAGGGTCATTCAGACTGGTGTATTTTCTACAAGGGCACAGCTTCATTCAGATCTTTTAACAGACTATGATAAAGAGAGGCTCAGTCGCATGCTGAGGACCTTGATGTTACCTTGAGGCTTCTTGGCAGACACATCAAAGTTAATGAGGGGTGAAAGAACAGGCTGATGTGTCATGGCTTTGCAGATGCAGTTGCAGTAGCAGAACTCCGGAGAGAAAGAGCTGTACACAGAGCGGGACACTGTCATTTAACACACACAGTCACAGCAGTGGCTTAAGGTTCATGACCTTTTCTAGCCCGGAGGTGTTTGGTCTAATATCCAGTCAAAAATATTTAGCTGTTTAACATAAGAATATAAGCCATTTTAAAAGTAGATGAGTGATGCTGATGATGTTAAAATGAGATGTAATGCTGTAGAAAAATTGTCTTTGATGTCATTGCCTAGTGGTTAGGGCACATGCTTTGATGTACATTTCCTTTCCACTCTATAATTTTCCTGTCAATAAGTGACAAAAGATCAAAAATAATTATAGAAAATGTACTTTAATTGAAATAATCATCCAATACAAAAGTATATATATATATATATATTGTGTGTGTGTATGTATATGTCTATAATGATTTTCAGGTTATTGCTTATATTGACATTCCATACTATTTAGTATAAGTAAATTAAAAATAAAATGCTAAACAGTTTAAATCCTACTAATGAATTTGAACATCGCAACATTATAATGTACAGTATGAACAAATATTATGAGATTTTTTTAGATTTGCCAAAGATTTAACGGTTTTATTAAATTGGATTTAAATTGATGTTAAAGTGTTTTTAAAAATCTATTTTAAGTGAGCATCAGATAATAGTCAAGTCACTTTGGACAAAAGGGTCTGCTAAATGACTAAATGTAAAAGTCAGTCTAATATAAATGTAAAAATTGGGAAATTGAATAAATGCTAGACTCCATAATAATGCCACACATAGCTTAAACATGACTTTACATGTTGTGCATTTCATATTTGCAGAAAAACTGACCCCATCCTCTTCCTCCACAGTCCCGGACCTTCCTGAGAGAATATTACCATGAGCACAACATAGAGCTCTCCAAGCTGCTGTACAAAATGGGCCAGCCGCTGCCTAGCTGGCTTAGGGAGGAGTTGCTCCACAGCAGGTAACCTGAAGAGGGGGGTGGGGACACACTGGTCAGACTCGGACACCCCTCCTTCTGCTCTTGAGGGTACTCGCCCTCTCGTCCACCCCTGTAAGCCGCCGGCCACAGTGGTTGGTCAAGTCTCCTCCAGCGGCTTTGCGGACCTTCAGTTCGGAGAACTGAGCTTCTAGAGGACAAGACGGAGAGGTAGAGAAAGATGCCCTTAGGTGCGCTAGTGGCTCTGTTCTGTTTTGGAGAACAGTGATGTGCCCAGGACATAGCCCTGGGGTACACCCGCTACAATCCTTGGCTCGAACATAGGATCACAACGGGAGGCTTCCAAAAGACATTCTACTTGTCTGGTGTGTTGAAGTGCCAGGAAGACATAATGTCAGAACAAATGGACTTGCAATATGGGAGAGGAGGGCACATATTTCTTTTGAGCTGTAGGACATACACAAGTCCGCAACAGATAAATAAGTGCCAGGGTGGTACCTTAAAGTCAGACTTTCTTTGTTTTCTTGGTTAAATATTCTTTTAACACTCATTTCATGTGTTGTGTTCCACAACACAAGGCTATTCGCCTTGTAGTTTCATACCTCTGTTTTAAACGGTTTTTATTTCATAGGATATTAAACCCATTCGTTACAGCTGCACCCTCCGGGCTTAAAATGTGACATTTAAAGGTGAAATTTCATTACGATGTATTTATGGCTATTAGTTGCGAATCCACAGGACAGCTTAATAATGCGTGATAAATTGTGGTACTAAAACACAGATAAGCTACATCCATAATCAATGTGACTGTAAATATGAAACTGTAAAAAAGCTGGGTATGTTTTTGGCCTGTTATATGTGCAGTAACTGCCTTAATGCAACTTTATCAAGCCAATTACGGTTAAATTCACTGAAGTATACAAGCTGATGTGTTTTGACAGGCCTCAAGGGGCTGATCTTTTTAATCTTAATTCGAATGATGAATGTCGAGAACTGAACCCATGTGTTATTTTGGCAATGGCATTATATCACAAATCTCACTGGAGCGTTAAGTAAGGGTATTGCAGTTTTAATAGTGATCCATAAAACCTGTCCGCCAATAATCCTTTTATCACCTTTTTTTATCTTGTTTTAATGAATGTTTTACCCTTTTTCAGTTTTGATGTGATTTGTTTAGCATATCACAACATCTAATCACTTTTCATTCAGGGTTGTCATCAGAATGTGTCCAGGAATGTATTGCCTCTGCCAAGAGACCATTTTAAAAGGCCATTTTATATGACTTGTGTTCTGTAGGAACTGTTGACTGCTACTGAACCGTATGAATTACACCCATGAATGTAAGCAGGGATGCTGTATAATAGACACGATGCCTTTTCGGTGGCAGGCAGGGCGATCCACGGAAAGTTCCACAAAGCCCCTTAACCCAGTCGCTGGGGCTGAATTAAACCACTGCGCTAATGGATTTCATTTCTCTTGCTGCTGAAATGAGAAGTCATGAAACAAACCCAAATCTAATTTTATGTATAACAAAATTAATTGGATTTAATTTCGTTCCCTTCTGTTTTTCTTTCGTCTTTGAAAAGTTTTTGTGCACTTTCTTCCGTACTTCCATGCACAATTACATCAGACTCACTTCACGCAGCATATATCAGTCTCCTCTAACAGCTGTGTGCCTCTACAGTCATTTGGCGTTTCGATTCAAGTGCATCCTTTGGTCAAGCATTTTCATAACACTTGTGAGTTCTGGGGGGAAAAAGGCACCAAAAAGTACAAATTGTTTGATGATTAATCACCCCTGATATTCCCTGCTTTAGGATGGACACTTGGGAAGGGGTTTGGCAATATTACAGATGGAGAACTGACAGTATCTCAGAGCGTTTATTTTCTATAATACAGATTTTATTTGTAAAAATTGTGCAACCCTTAATTCTTCATTGACCTAAACGTGTGATGCTTGAGAAGCACAATGTTTGTGTTGTTGACCAAGGAATGGAAAAGCATACAATGCATATCTTGTGTGCAAGGATATCACTTCACACACAGATATTTGCACCAGTCCACAGGAAGACTTTTGGGTCCACAGAGCATTTTGTATTACCAGTAACTTTTACAGATAGTTTTACTTAGTTTTGGTTAAAATGTAAGTAGTTTACAATTGTGTGCGGTACAGAACCATGCACCTTACATGCTGCTCTCGGATTCGTCATAATCACACGCGTAACCTTCTTTTTATTGATATTATCATTTCATATTCCTGCTCCCAAGCCGAACACTGGCATCTAATAATGCAATATCGTGTTTCCTGGTAAAATGGGAAGATTTACACCAAGCACAAAATTATGTTTAAATAAAATGTGTCGCAGTGTACAGAGCCCATTTATTTTGAGTGAATGGAACAGAGAGAGATTATAAAATATGAATGAACTAGTTATGATTTTTTTAGACATCAACCACACTCACACAGACATGCAGAGAGTTCCCATGACTTTCACACTGCCAATATTGTGTTTTCTGTATCATAATGTAGGGTATGAATAGATAGAATAAAATAACTGTAAGGAAATAATCATCTGGACCGTACAATCAAACCTACCGTTGTTAATATTTTTTATTGTTGGTAGCCAATATTTTTGTGATTAATTTGCAAATAAAGAAACCACTGTCTTTTTAGTTCTTTGTCTTTATTAAGTACACATGTATTATTTCAGTGAGTAAATAATACACACACGTATGTGTGTTATGTATACATATGTACACATACATATGACATTTAATATATGAAAAAATATGTATGTTTGACTTTAATTTATGGTTTAGACATTGCAGTGCAAAAAACATCTTTATATAATAATACTAGTTAAATATAAATATTGTGATTATCACCACTTTTCATAAGCTGCTCAAGTCACATTTAAGATGATAAATATTGAACCCTGTAACTCATATGATAGGTTGTATGCTTTTAATGTTTTATGGTGATGCATGAAATTAACATGCATCACCATAAACGTTTTTATCATATAATTGCTTTTCAAGTTTAAAAAATAATTTATTTAAATATTATTATTATTATTTCACATAGACATTCATTTATTTATTTATTTATTTATTTTTTACATTAAAGTATAGCTTTTGTTAAGAAGGAGACCACTATAAAAAGGGACAGACTTGAGTGCAGATCAAATAACAATTACAGCAACAATGAAATGGAACAATTATATATTTTACACAAATTCTGTGGCTTTTGGCACCTTATTATGGATGTAATTTTTCCTAGCACGGAAAATGTTGATCTACATTCTTAAAAGAAGAAATCTTTCCATACGGATTAGCAAGTCTTACGGCTGATCCTTGTCCCATGAAACACTGGAGAGTCACTGGTTGGTTTGATATTTATAACAAACATAAACTACAGCTGCATCTCAATCTGTCAGCGGCAGGGCATCTGTGAGCATGGTTTGCATCCACATCACACACTCATCAAAGCAGAGTGCATATTGGCCAGAGCTGTACACTCCATCATTCTGACACTGGCAATAAGCCGCTACATTAACCACAGACTGTTCATTTACATTTGGAAGGCTGAACACTCTTAGTATAGCCACAGTATATATGACCTGTGTGGGTTGTTTTAGTAGGTGAACATGCAATCTAGATGCATACACTGTCCTAAAAGTCATTTGTCATTTGAATGAAGTCTCTTGTTATTGACGTAGGCTATAGGCAATACAGAAAAATGTCAGAAGATAATGTAGCCTGTGGATATTGAAATCTTTCAGTTCTTAGATATATTTTTACCTGGCGTACAATCTTGAATTGAGGATCGTATTTCAAAAACAGAATAATATATGATATGTACTTGTTGCCTTTGCAACATTATTTAAGGAAAACAAAATCTGTCTTGCTGCTGGCAAACAGTATTTCTATTACCCCTTAACAAAATCACATGAAAATTATTAAGAAACAATGTAAGTTTTACACACAAACGTACTATACAAATAAATGTATAGTAGGAGTGCCACAGTAAATGCAATAGCAGTAACTCATATACTATACTATAGATTGAAATGTTTTGTTCTTATTGCATGTTTTTAAATTATTATTAATTACAGGTGTAATAAAGTCTTGTTTTTATCTGCGTTGTTGCGTGTGGAAACTGTTTTTTAAGTATTTGCCATAGTAGAAAATACATGACAAATTTTCACCGGACAAAACTAAGATAAAAGCAGTAAATAGGACAAGAGCGACTTAATGACTTAAGTAATCAACCTTAAAGAAATGAAGCTATATATATATTTAGAAAAACTGTGTACATATTAAATACAGAGATTGTGTTTTTTAAAAAGTAGAAAAGAAAGTAATAGAACATACAGGCTTAGGGGACTTTTATTATATATACACACACACACACACACACACTATCACTTCCGCTTGTGGAAGTTGAACTTTCAACCCGGCAGCGATTTTTCCTTCCTTTCCTGTTTCGGCCTCTGTCAGAGACACACATAGGTAAGACAATATAGTTTCAATCCATTCAAATCCTATCTTTATAAAGAGTGTTACATATAAAAGTTAACTTCGGTAACGTTCCATAACACCTCGCGAACTAGAAGACCGTGATATTACTCCCATAAATAGTGATGAGTGCAGTGTTTTAGTCGGATACACGGTGTTGCTCTAGCGGGGCTCTGCTCCATATTGGTCTCGCTAGCGCAGCTGCATGATCCGCTATAGTTGCCTATATTCAGAGCAGATACGCTGTGCTGCGATACAGTTTGTGTGAGAAAGGTGGTCAGTTTCTCGTCCTAATCTTTGTTAAGAAATATCCACTGAACTTGAACTAATGACAATGTAGATATGTAAGCCCCCATTTGGCGTCTAAAGGTATATTGTCGAGGAAAACTTGGGCTTTTCTGGATGATTTACTTGGTATTTCATTAAGTTGTTTGTCAGCAGGTCACACTGAATTAAGTCTGTAGCTTATAACACCGTGACTAGCTTAGTTTAAACGCTTAGTTGCACTCCAGGGGCCAGTTGCATAAACAGTCAGTATGTTAAGACTGTCTTAAGAACTAGTTTGACCAACTAGCAGTTAGCCAAGGGGTAACCAGTCTTACTTTTCAATTCGGATTAGAGCAGTCTACCTTTTTGTAACTGATTTTTAAAAGTTATTACTAGTCTAGAAGAAAAAAAAATACATGACTAACTTTTTAAAGGGGTCATATGATGCTGCTAAAAAGAACATTATTTTGTGTATTTGGTGTAATGAAATGTGTTTATGTGGTTTAAAGTTAAAAAAACACATTATTTTCCACATACTGTACATTATTGTTTCTCCTCTATGCCCCGCCTTGGCGGCAACAACAATACTACAGCGTGAATAAAAGTTATGCCTTCTTTCTTTGCGTGAACATTTGGGAGGCATTATGCAAATCTTCCCACATAGTGATGTGGACATGTGGGGGCGTGTTAGAACGAGACGTTTTAGGTAGGCGTGGTTGACTCTTAACTTTTATAAAGAATATCTCTTTGGATTTGAGACTTTAGTCTTTGCAACTTTACAGATCTTCTTTATGCACCAAGAGCTTGTAACACTGCAAAGAGAAAGGAAAAATTGAAATCGCATCATATGACCCCTTTAAGACTAGTCCAAGCAGTTTATGCAACTGGCCCCAGCATGTTTGCTAGAAGATGCAAGTCCTATTTTCTGTCAAATGGTTTAGAAGAGCATGTTGTTTAGAGAAGTTAAAGCGGTTTAACTTAATTTTTAGAACTCCGAGTTAATTATCATTAATCCCTAGATGATTTTCATGTGAAGTTGACCCAACTGTTGAATGTTGTTTTTCAGCAATGGCACCTCGCAAGGGTAAGGAAAAGAAGGAAGAGCAGGTCATCAGCCTGGGACCTCAGGTTGCAGAAGGCGAGAATGTGTTTGGAGTCTGTCACATCTTCGCATCCTTCAACGACACCTTTGTCCACGTCACTGACCTCTCTGGCAAGTAAGTACCGCAAGAACATGGAGAAAAATCTCTATGCACATGAAAAGCACAAATACCAGCAAAACAAATGAAGTGAGATTTTTAATTTGCACAGTAAAGTGTCAGATACTACAATGATTTCAATTCAAATTTTGCCTTGATTCCACATGCTGCGTTTTTCCGTATTGCTCTAAACGTTTATAGTGTTTCACTTGCCTGTCATTTTCACCAAAAAATATTTCTTTAAATAATAATGGTTTTCCTCATAATTGAAAGTGTACTGAATCCGTCAAGCTCCAAAATATGGCGTTATAAAATAGTTTGTACTTTATTATAAGCTTTGCGATTAGCTTTGTGTGATGACCAAACTAAGGGTGCTTTCACACTTGGTTCGATTGCGTGGTCCGAACCCGAGTTCGATTGCTCCCCCTGCCCCCGCTGGACTGTGTTCACATTATATTATTTGGGTCCGAACCGCAGTTCTGTAAGGATGGTTTCCCTACAGTGGTTCAGGCTGTAGGATTGCCGAATGACTAAAATGTTATCAGCACGATGGTATACAACTGTACATTTCTAGTCTATTACCACCCAATGCCACTTATACCAACGACGGAAATAAGCGCAGTTAGAATAGCTAAATATGTGGGAGAGCGTTGCTATTGAGTGACTATTGTATTGCAATAGGTAGCACTTTAATATTAACCTTGAATCAAGACTAGTTAGCACATAATTAATAATTGAAATGGTTTAATAACAATATTTTGTAATGGTTACACTTGAATTGGTTACAAAATAGGGATTACAGCTTCACCCACTGTGCAAAAGAGTGTGATAATTAGCAGACCCCCGATGTATACACATGTTGGCCTACAGGCCTTGATCGATATTAGCACTTCTGTGCCTTCAGGAATGCCAAACACACATTTTCCGTGATTTGATATGATTGTGTTCACATCAGCAGCGAACCGTACCGGAGTTCACTTGAACCGTACCCCAGACCACCCTATTTAAGCGGACTCGGGTACGGTTCGCGGGTGCGCACCTGAGTTCGGAAGACAGCGTTCACATCATCCAAACGTACCGAACTCTGATGTCAATCGAACCCGGATGCGCACCAAAAGTGCTAGTGTGAAAGCACCCTAAAATGTAAGTTATAGAGTGTAACCGTGTCTGCCCTCTCTTTCATTGGACTACGGGAGTTTTCCAATAAAGATTTTTTAAAGAGTCATCTTTTAGGACTTAAAGGCACAATATGTAAGATTTTTTGGACCCACTTTACCTCAATAGCAGCAAAAGTGTTTTGCAATACAATATGAACACAATAAGTACATTGTACTTAATTTTTGATGTAAGTACATAGTAGTTAAGGCCACTTAATATAAAGTGCGGCCGATTTTTTTTATTAAAATATCAAAAAACTACTAGAACAGTGTTATATATTTTGCTGACTTGTGTACGTACATTTTCCCAAATGTTTCGAAGAATGTTTAAATCCAGAGAAATAAGCAATTTTAACTAGTGACACGGACCGTGTCCATAGTGTCATTGTTTCGCCTGCTAATGACGTCATAACCCCTCGATTTGTTTTGTAGAAAACATGGAAACACCAAAGACGCTTTCATTAGCTCATCCATGAACATGATTTCTGCCCGAGTCCCGTCGGATTGCTTTGGCTGTGGGGATGAAGACGAC